GGATGGACTTCTCTGAGTAATTTGTGTACAGCATCCATAAATCTGACTACATAGTTGGTACGTTCACTAGGTAGCTTCGTTTTGGGCTGCTTCCTTTTGGACTCTCAGAGTCACCAAAAGCAGGTCAAGTGTTGTCAAAACAACTACCGATAAAAGTGCAGATGAAGTGGAGTGGAATGAATTCAAATGGTAAACTAGAATAAAATGAAAAGAATAACCAAGGAATGATCAAGGTAAGGATAAGTGTATAACAAAACATTTCTGAATGCATAGTTGGGCTTTATCCATGTTTAGCTGGTGAATCGGCTGTATTTAAGGGGAGAAAAGTATACTTATAGAGTGACTGAATTTGGCTCTGTGGATACCTTCAAAGCACATATCACGTAGGACTAAATCACCTGACTCGAGTAGGTATTCATTAATCGAAGACATCGTCATCCTATGATTGCTTTTCAACAGCCAAACTGGGTACTCCACAGTGCCTCATTTCCGGAGATTACGTTTATAACTTTCAATGTAATCAGCTCACTAGGAGCATGTGAGTGAGTAAATGCGTATAGGTGTGGAGATGAGAGGTAGTTCATCCTTCATGCATTACTGAATCATAGTTTGCCCGGAGAATACTGAGTGTCATCAGCAGCCTAAAATGAGCGTTTGATACACCTAGATAGACGACTTTTAATCACTTCAGTAATGGTATCACATTTACATTCCCAGCTGATAAACAATCTCGTTGGCACTATGGTTTGGATATGAGTGGTCTCTTCCTAAGTTTTTCTTCAATAAGCTTTCCAGAATATCTTTAAATCAAGAGTGTTGTGCAAACGTCTTCCAGTTCTTTATCGACCGTAAGAATATTGTATACTTTGCGAGTTCTGCAGCATACACAATGGATGAGGTTTCTCTTTCTTCCTGAAGCTACTCAGGTGTTGGAATTGATGTACAAACCAGTAGAGATGGGCTTTAAGTAGATCAGTCTTTGCAATGTTCCATCACTGTTGAAGGCAACAACTAATGCCTATCGTGCAAAAGGTGCTCCAAGTGGTCTCTTAGGCAACGCTTTAACATTCGCTACGATTCTTACTGCCCTCGAATCTCAGTAGGAACAATCTCTAAGGACTTTGAAGACATCTGAATCACGACTTTCTAAAGGGTCGAAATGCTAATTCTGGCTTCTGCTGCTAGTTACCACTCACCAAGTTACTTCAGTTTAGACCTTAGACACCGTCGAAGATTCCGTACTGGTAGTCAGCTTGTTAACAGAGGCCGAACATTTCGGTCTAACCATTCGACGGTAAGTGTGAAATTGGCTGAAACAAATAGTCACTGTCAATTTGTTCAGTTTACACCATCTATTCATCATCCATTTCAACACGTCAGAAGTTTTTCTAATGGCACTTGTGAATTGTTTACCTCCACAACGCTCTAAGTCATTTGGTTTCTTTGCCTACATTAGTATGTTTATGAGGCAGCATACTACATAACAGAGTATAGGATAAAATGTGTACGACAACAAATCCGCCATCTCCTGAAACTCGCTGATTCAGTTAATTCTGCCTTACGCTTTGATTATATTTAGGATATCCATATCGATTGTGGAACTATGCTTTCACATTAATAGTGTATATTTATTACCATCAATAAGACTCGTATGATCAGCCTTCCTTTGCACCTTATTCGCACCATTCAATAAAACAATCCACACAAAGCAAAATAGTAAGCCGCATCATGATGGAGGGTCTCAACGACGTTCTGGATACAAGACAACGCCCGGAACAATTTGGTGTGCAAACCGAGTTGTAGCGCTACCTATCGTCATGTAACAGAGCATAGAATGACACTAAGATCTCTTGCTCAGCTTCATCGACTTCGAAGAGGCTTTCAGTAGCACCTACCGTGAAGCATCTTGGAAGCTACTTCATCAATGTCGATTGCAGAGCAGCGGACCTATATGTATCACATTCAACAGCAATATGGTGATGCCGTACGCCAAGGGATTCACGAAGCCTTCGAAGTGAGAACAGGAGTAATTCAAGGCTACTTATTATCACAGAGGAGAGTGATAAGACTGGGATACACTGGCCAAAATGAAGACTTTGAAAGATTTGGACTTCGCGGACGACCTGTGTCTACTGTCACATAAACTCTAATATTCGTCGGCGAAAGCTAATAATAAATCTTTAGCTGACGGTAATTTTTGATTACACCTGAAACAAATCAAATCAATTGCCTACAAACTGGCTCTTGTAATCCAATAAGTTACAAGTGAAGCTGCGAAGGCAGGACTTCAAGTGATGAAGATACCTATTCGACATTACCAAACACTGACTGCCACTAATGGGAGAATTCAAAGTGAAGTCACTTGTTATATTTATCTAGGCAACATTGAAAGAGGATCTCAGAAGGAAGACATGAAAATCACGACAGGCGTTCATCAATCTGAAAATAAATGTAGAGATCAGCTGCACTCAGAATAAGAAACAAACGATGGATCTTCAACATTGATATGGTTCAGATACTTGGTATTTAAGTAACGAAAAGCATCTCCAACAGATTGCAGAGTTTCATAAACACTCGCCTTCACTCGAAAATGAGGACCAGATATGCAAGCTGGGTGTGTGTCCGGGTAGGATATAGAGAGCGTCGTGTGAGGTGAAAATGAAAGCTTGTACACAATTATGGAGCCAGGCAAAATTCAGCTGAAAAAGGAGATGATATGCAGATGTGCTAGTGTGTTTCACTCGGAACTCAAAAGAATAGCAATTAACTTCAAAAACTGGATTAGATGTGGTATGTAATTGTCAATGTGATTACATCTTCATGCTTTCATCTGTTCTTATAATTTCATATTTCACATTGCGATTTGGGAGCTGAAATGGAAATCCGATATACATACATTTCCTATTCTCGTGTTAATTTCATGTTTACCGGAATCGTATTATTCTACTTCAGGTCTATACTTCTTTTGTTATAGCACTAGGTGCTTCCTCAATTTCAGTACAAATGGAATTATAAAAGTCATGAAAAAGTTGTCTCATTTGTTCACGAGGTAGAAATTTAATGCAATAAGATTACAAATAATTAAGTGAATGAAAAACATTTAAAATATGCAGAATGATAACTAGTGGTTGAAGGACAGTTCCAATTAGCGATGAGTTACGTTAACTAGAATGAAACGATACACAGAACATAAATACCATAACCCTGTTTTGGTACTTTTGCGTGATGGTTGGCATGCAATTTTAGTCTAAATCAAAACGATGCTGGATTTGTAGCACTGAATCACTTAATGAATGGAATAACAAGTAAAAGTTTGAAATACAACGCGGAAGATGGCGAAAATTCAAACCATTAGATGGCTGATTAGTTTTGATAAAACACTTATAGTTATATATCTATATTTATCTCCGCATTCGTTTGTGCATATTTTCGGAAGATTGTTCAGTGTTTTCTTTTTGCATTCCCTGTAAAAGTAGAAGGAATTATTTGACAAAATGCATAAATGTTTTATGAATTTGTTTTCAGTGGGCGTATTATTCAAGTTAAATTTTAATGTATTTCATTGCCATTCGCAGTTAAACTGTAGCCGAAAGGAAAATAGAGACATATAGGACATATAATGAGGAAAGCTTCCAAGGGAATTACACTTCACACAGTCGAGTAGAATTCAAGTGGGAAGCGACAGTGTTGGTGTCATCAGAAGGGGAAGTAAGATGTTGATGAAAGTTGTCGGTGACCTATCATGTTTCTGGCGATTTATCTTGATCCTCACGACTACAAATCCTACTATTCGGTGAAGTGATACCAATGAGTAACAGAAGATCTGTCCGCCTCATCCAGAGTGAATATGTTCAGTCGTTCTGTTTACCATCACAATCAACTGGATTACCAGAGAATGAATCCCTTTTGTGTGTAAATCTAACCAGTGCTATTATTTTATGATTATCGCAAATATTTATCACACATTTGGTGGTTTATTTCTTTGTAGTTTTCGTGATATCTCTCCCTGACTAACATCACATTTCGAAACCCATAATTTTGTTGATTATTAATACTCAATCACTATCTAGTTATTTAATTTCATGTTCCTAATGAGAGCACATTTTACAGGGACCTAAGTGTGGATCAAAATTTAACGACTATCATTCCATCTTGTACTTGTACCAGGATAAATTTTCCGTTATGATTCTGATTTGCCTTTACTGGTAGAATTGTATGCTAAAGTTAATAAATTCATATTTGCAGAACTTGAAGAATAATTAGTCGAAAGTGAATTGTCCCCTGAAATTACTCTTGTTCTGAATAAATTATGGGGACGTCCAAATTATTTCACAACTGGCGTTTCAGGTTTGACCAAAGATTAATATCAGTTAGAGAAGCATTGAAATTCAAGGAGTACAGCACATTTGTTTCATCCTAGTTTGTGAGTCTTCTGAAGTACCCACCTACTACAGGGGTTCGAATATAGAACTTTCTAATGACAATGTGAGCTCGTAGACCATTCAATCACCAATAAACAACTCAATGTTATCGGTGAGTATTTGTCGTCACCGCTGATCAGGTGGACGCCACTGATCATGATTTTCCCTAGAATTCCAAGAAATTTCCTTCTGCAAGCAGTCACTAACTAGCATCGAATAAGTGTATATCGCCTGAAATAATTGCAAAATGTTTGAATTCATATTGGTCTTCACAGACGACTTGGATCAACTATTTGGATGAATGTTTACTGCACCAATAATCTGTACAAATTGAATAGTCAAAGAATAGTAATTTGCTCTTGAGACCAATAAATTATCCCTTTATCAGTATGATGACGTTGGTCTGTTACTTTCAAATCAATGACCATATCATCTTTTCAGTCACGAAACATGAAGACAGGCACATTATGGATTAAAAATGACTCGTTAAGTTAACTCTTGTGAAAACATTATATTGATCAAGTTATTCTGAATGGAACACAAGAGATTTTCATATAACTTGCTTGATTAATTCCTCAATTAATGACCTCTGACGAATACTTCTCTTTCGTCTTCATCTGTTATCTCCCAATCTGATTGACCTGAACAAGTTAAAAATGATAAATGATAACTTTAATTGAATAGGGCGCTAATTTATTGATATAATGATGTGGGGTTCATTTATCCAAATTGTATTTAGTCTTTTAAATTGTTACTGCTCTTGAGTCTACAATCTCACAAATACTCATGTACAGAAATGCGAAACATCTGCATATCCTTTTCAATTGAGAAGGATGTTTTCCACAGCTGACTACTCTTCTCGATTGAGTGTTTCTCAAAACCATCTACTCTACTCTAATATCTGTGAACAGAAATGTTGCCGTAGATCATTTCTCCGCTGTGTATCTGTTGTTTCATCTGATACTTGCAAATAAAAGAGGCTGGTGACGGCATTAGAAGCTTGTCTTATAAAAGTGAGCGGTCATTCATTCGACATATTCAAACAAATTCGTAGATCAGATAAATCCACCGATCACGTTTTAACATAAATATCAAATATGTGTGTCAGTTTCTTAGGTTTGTTCATTTACTGACAAGTTTGAGCGGCTCGTATGATATTCGTAACGAGTGAAAAATTTTCCAGTATAAGACGACTGTATCATACTCTCGTCTTATGCTGTTACAATACGAACTCGCCATTGACTGAAAACGCCATTTAATAGACTACTAAATTCAAGCATCACTGTTACGTATTATGTTTTAGGACTTATCATTTCATCTGATGATTGCGTAATTGCACTTTAGTCCATATGCGAATAATGAAGAATAGTATATAGATAGGTAATTCAACTACCTTTATCCTTGCTGAATGGCTTTTTCTCCTTTAGTATAACGCGTTCGTTTGGACCTCCTGAAAGGAATGAAACAGCCAACACACCGCATTATTCTAAACTTTTGTCCAGAGGATGGTATTATATTCAATAACTTTAACTTTCAGTTAGGGTAAGTTTAAACTCAGATCACACTAAGATAATATGTTTTTTACCTCAGTCTGATAATATAACAGAAGCAATTATCATTTTCTTGAACATTTGCAGTCCAAATATGGGTGACATGCTTCTCTCCAGTTCTATCACGAGCTGACATCTGGTAGAGAACCTTTGGGAAGTTGGGGAGTACTGGGAAGCAATTTCTTCTCCGTTAGGGACTCACCGGCCGTACACACCCATCAGGGTCCAGTCTCACGACCTTCCGGTTACAAGCTAATCTCGTAGAAATTTCAGCCACTGGGAGTCGATCTAATGACCCATGAATTCTATCTGCCACTTATTCATGATTTCAGCACTACCGCCGTGTAATGTCATCGGTGAGTATTTGTCCTCATGCCGGATATGGTGTATCTCACTGGTCACGACATCCCAATGGAACTGCAGGTTACTTCGTCCTGAAGCTAGTCACCAGTGAGCTAAAGTTTCTTGTCGTCGAACAACAGATATCCAGAAGGAAGTGTAGACTGGACTGCATGCACACTAAGGACACCCTCAGCTGGAATTTGATGCCACAAGTTTTGACCCAACAACTAGAATAAAGAACCACTTCACCTTCCTTCTCACAAGGATTTGAAACACTTGAATAAACCGGAATTAGGGGGCTTGTGAGACATTGTCGTTCAGAATGCATAACAGTTCTAATTCATTGAAAACCATTTTAAGAGAAATATGATTTGAAAAACTCAGGAACACAAATGGACTAATTTGTTGTCAATCTGAAATGCAACGGTACGAGTTTATCAAAACATTTATGAAGTGGAATTCAAAAGCGCTCTTCGCTGTATCTCTCCTCTGCATCATTCATCGAAACGTCGAAGACAATCCCAAATCTCTTTATTTTATGAACAATATTACTCTCTCTAAATACTTACTGTTTAGTAAACATTCTTCAAAAATTTATAGCACTTCATTCTTAGTCTGTGTAAGATTATTCAGTCATGGTTTAGAACCTGCAAATATAGCTTCTTGATGTAACATTACGTATACTCTTTTACTGAGTGAAGTTGATGTTTGTTGACACCCAACATGAATACTTTGCTGTTCAGCTTTGACATAAGTCACCAGAGTAGTAATATTTGTGAAACTGATGTTTGTTTTCAGTGTAGACCTCGTCACGAACCATCACCACTCCAAGACCATTGCAAACCATGGAAGAGTGTACGGATGTTCCGTCCTTGTTTGAGACTATTCAGTAATGTACACACATCACCTCACCAAGCGCCTCACCCAACACCATGAGTTTATGAGGCCAAGTTCGTTGGCCATTCAGCCATCTAAAAATTAATTTAATGACCCGTGAATTCTGACTTCTGTCAGTCCGTGTGATAGCGCCATCCGTAACCAGTTTCTTTGATGACTATGCAATGCGCCTTAGCATGAATGACCTCACTGGCTACGACTTCTCAGTACTGCTCCAGGAAATCCGACCATCCTCATCTGTGATTTGTAGACTGACATTTAGATTGTAGGCTTTGGTGGGGACTTATGTCTTCATGGCTTCAACACTCATGGATATATTTTATTTAAGGAATATTTGATTTATAGTGACCATACTGTTCTCTACACACATATTTTGCATAATATCAAGTGGTATCACACTGGTGATTCAGTGGTTGACTGGTAGAACAATTGTTCACTACAATGATGGTCAGGAGTTCGATTCCCTACCGACGCGATCCCCCAATACCTGGTAGTAAGACCGGTAAAGTGGTGTGGATGGGCATGAGGCTAGCAACTCCACCCAGTGAAAAGAAACTCCACTGATACTGAAAATTCAAAGTTCAAGCCGTATTGCAGTGAAGTCAGTTATAATCAGTTTGACTGTATCTGGCCCCTCATTATGTTAAAGTACTTTGAATTTCTTCTTTTGTCCTATAAAAATTACTGCTGAAACATATTTATACTCATATACTGAAGGGTATTTATCATATAAACTTCACTATTGAATTAACTGGGGAAAATGAAATCTACCTCGTTGAATCTTTTCACCTCTTTTCACTGTACCAACAATTATTTCTCTTTCAGATTCAGTTTCTGTTTCCCATCCAGGTTCATCTGAGATAGAAGGAAAAATATTATTTCATTGTAATTTTAGTACTATGGATCATGCATAGATGTTTCTTCAATAGTTTTTTAAACCTGAAAAATAACACTGTGACAAAATTAAAGATTTTTCTGCATAATGGCTTGTTGTTCCTTATACTCAGATAGCGAGTGAAATACTGGCAAGCACAGGCAGAATATTATTACCTAAAGATTTTAGTTTATCTAGACTGTGAGGTGGGCAGCACAGATGAGCAGGTTGTAGCCAGCCAGAATCAGAAAAAGAAAGCATACCTTCATTACTCTGAAATCAGTGACGACGTCTATTACACACACTATATAGAACAACATTCGCGTATTCAGCACTAATGTTTAACCAGTCAGTGCTTCTACATAATCCAGAGGCTAGGCGCACACGTCATTCAAAGCATCCTCAGCGAGTTTCAGACTTTCATCAATGTCTGTCTTGGCTCCATACTGATGGCCAGATGGCCTACCTGAAAGGATAAGCAAACCAGAAACTCTGGCAACAAACCAACCTAGAATATGTTTCCTAACACATTTTCAGAAGGTGATGGATCACAGACATGCTAAGGACTCCACTAAATAACATCACATGCCCACTTATCCATGAGTACTATAGTGACACGGAGATTATGTGGTAAGGAAAAGATAGCTCATGTGTAATCTTGGAACCAACTATAAAAGACAGCTGGGAAAACAGTGCTCTTTAAGCCTCACGTTCCCTTTGGAACCCAAGGGGATAGTGATAATCAAATACTATGGGATACACCCATCCTTGACTGATTTTATCGTTGCTTTTGACAAAAATATCAAACTAGCTAGATGTCACTTGAAAGACAAGAAAGAATTAAGATGAATCGAGACCACAATCTAATAATAATCATACTTTGCTTGAATTTTCTTGTTAGGTGAGTCAAGGACTCTGCTATCTCAAAATATATCCTATTGCCCATCACCTTCATGCTTTCGTTCAGTTTTGTAATTTCAAATTCATTGCAAGCATCAAAAGATTGGAATGCGACTTCTTTCTACGTAATTATTGAATTCTGAGGCGATATGATATTGGGTTTAACAAGGAATACCACAGCATTATCTTAAGGAATAACTTTGAAGTATCAGACATTATTCATAATATCATTATTAGTAATACTGCTATTGCTGGCATTACCGATCCTACCTGTTTCTTCCTTCTCAACAGGTTTATTCGCATCCGCAATTGCGAGTAGCCTTTCCATCTCTTTCTTGATCTCATCATCTAAATTAAACAGAATTAAATAGTCAACAAACTGAAATTGCAAAAACTTGATAGAAAACTATTTGGTCGCAATTACAGTAGCGATACTATACGAATCTCCGGATTATCTGTAATCAAACAGCTCAGGGTAAAGTTTTGACGATAACTTCTTTTGTGGGCTTAAAGTATTGTACATACAACATTCGGTATGTTTTATACCACAGACTGTTTTTCAATGACACATATACACACTTTGTATGAGCATCTATGATGTGCTCTGTGTACACTTCGGAGTACTGCTAACACTTAGTGGCTGCTCAGTTCTACTAAGACTGAATTTGTTACTTATTCTAGTGTATTTGTTGAAATTATTATCTTGAATTTTCCACTAATGCATTATATAGAACTGAAGTACAGTATCTCTATGATATATCCACCGGCTGGTTGATATTTGACTAACACACTGGCTACTATTTTGATCCAGAAGCTCGTTACCCATCCTATTTGAGATTTGTATCCACATTTCCAACTGAAAATGCATTATTCACTGTGGATACTGACAAGTCATCAATCGGATGGAATTTCACTTCCTGAAGTTCTCTGCAAACCACCATCAATCGAACAGCATAAATGCAGTATACATTATCCGCGTAATTAGAGTGCCGACGACCCGATTTATTTTGGCTGTTATGGCTTTCCTTCATGTTGAAATACTTTTGGCAAAGGATATTCACGTTGCAAGTTATTATATAAACTACTACTAAATTGGGACTGAAGTGCGCATATTGTTACAGTTATTCCAACTTATTTTACTGAATGAAATTTAACCGTTTATAGTATGCAACGCAAAAGTTATCTCCAATAGTGGGCAAATATATAACACTATGCGAAACGATCTCGGAGACACTCACTATACACTGTACCACTTTACTTGTACTTATAAATTCGAATAACTAAGAAGGAATTTATCTTATTCAAATTCAGATATTATAATTCATCGTAGAGAGTTGAAGTATCTGATACGTCATAAATCGTGTAGTGTTCTAATTGCAAAGCATCAAGAAGATTCATCAGAATTCAATTGTATCAGGTGTTGGGTTGTTGGAGTTTGATTCACTACAGGTTTGATGACGAAATAGTAAATCAGGGAATACTAAAAATTCGTTTCTCTTCAGAAATAACCATAAATCTCTAGGCTTCTAATTGCTACAACAGAGGCCTATTCAGTAGAGAAGACTAAATTCCCTCTATTTAATAACATTTCACCGACAAAACTAAGGGAGTATACACTCATTATGCTGATAAGATGCCATTATGCAATTCAGTAAAGTTATGGCTCTGTCCTTTTTATCATTCCTTGCTTTCCGAGTGACAGATACAGCTTCAGGTGTGAAACCTTGAATTTAAAGCAGCAATGATACTGTTTGTGCTGTAGTTACTGCCCTCACGCCTAACCTCACCTCTGTCTCGGGCTCATCTGAGGCCAGTTAAGGTTCAGAGTGCGTCAATGACTAAGGATTGATCCCCGAATCAAGTGAGTATATATAGGTGTGCATTAATACTCCAATTTCAAAAATATATTGATATAATTTTAGTTTACCTTTGTAGTCAGATAGGAATCGTTTCAGGCTGGCGTCAATTACATTGGTGTAGCAAGAACTCTCCCAGTCTTCGTTATCTACATCAAACAAAATATTTATTGAGGTAACGAAGCGAATAGGAAATGTGGAACTCATTAGAAGGGTGAGATGCAATAATTCTTAAATAAAGATAAAATCATGAGTCAAATAATTGCAGTAGGCACTTGAAAATCTTATTCTGTTAACACTTGAGTGATCATCATGGCTTACCTGATAGTCTGTTAATTATATTGCAAAAGTTGATTATAGTTCTGAATTGAGTAAATAAGTAGCAAGTATCGATGTAATGGAAGGCGTCCCTTTCATTTCATTAGACAGGATCTTTCAATTACGAGATATCAAGACCACCTGGGTTGTGGTGAGGGAAAGCAAGACAGGTGTTCAGTACTCTGAAATAAGCGTTGAGATCTACAGCATTCACAACAAGAAGCAAGATTCAAATTTTCAACATTGATGCCAATGCAGTGATTCCGTATGCTTCAGCAACATATTACATCACCGAAATAATTCCTGACATGTTGTAGACTTTTATCAGCACCTGCCTTCGCTCCATACTGAACGTCAGATGGCCGAACAGAGAGGATACGCTACAAAGAACTCTGGTGATGAACCAACTGACAACATATATCCGAAAAATATTCTGAAGGAAATGCAGATAGATTGGAGAAATTCGGAGGAGATCATTTACTGACATTTAAAGCCATGCAGCTTCCCGAGCATAATCTGAATGAGAGGTGACAAGTAGGATGTGAGTCGATTATGTTGTTGGACTAGATCATGTGAAGAAGAAAGGAAGCCTATAGGCAATCATGTGGTGAGCTAGGAAACACACAGGAGAGCACGATGCAATGTAGATGTGTCATTGAAGTCTTATGTTCCATTTGGAATCCAATTAACGAATCATCATAACAGTGTGTAAGAGGTATTGAGAGCCAACTAGCACTGTAAGTATTGACACTCAACCTTCAGTTATTTTATCGTGTTAACACTGAGAAACTTTGTCATAAGTAAGATGCACTCAGTCGGACACCTAAACCGTTGGACTTCAGAAGTAACTGGAATACTGACTGCTGATAACATTTGTGAAAATTGATGATGATAAGTGCTCATCAAAAAAGTGACATTTATAAGAAATGGTTGAAGAGTGTGACTTTCTGGATTTAAAACCAGTGATTTAACAGCGAATGTTCAATATTCAGTGGTAAGCTCATTAAAGCCTAGCTGCATCTGTCATTACTGTGAAAAACTAATAGATGCAGAAAGGTTGTTAAGTGAGCAGAATTAACAGAACCTGAAGTTGAACGAATCAGCTGTGATGGAATACCTACTAATGAATACATTGGTTCGCACTGATGATTATCCAGAAACTGAGTACAAGACGTTCATTCCTTTGTCTGGCAACTTACTGACATTTTTATGGTGTTTAGTTCCTTTGCGTTCCTAGGGGAACATAAAGCTTGAAGCTAGAGCTATGAATTTACAACAACAGCGGTTCTTTTACTGAGTCAGTTTTCTATCCTCACGGCAAAACCATCTTCACGAGGCTTACTAACAGCTAAGCTGGGTTTGGGAGCGCGTTGGCCGGGTATCGGATCACTGACCACTTGCCTGGTTGGCCAATGGACTGTCGTTGAACCACCGCCCAATGAAAGCTGCTTTTAACCGCCGTTGTGAACTGATTGACAAATAACCTCCTACGTCCTACTCAAGATGGCTAATGTAAACGTTTCTCTAAGTTCTTTTAACAGATATCACCTCTGGTTCTGTTTATAATTATAATGGCCTTGACTTTTAGTTTCTTTGGAAAAAGGTACACCCGGAAGACACCTATTAGTGACTTTGTTTAGTAGAAAAAGGAAAAGGAAATAAATAGAAGTATGAGAATAGAAGCTTAGAAAGTGGATCTAAGTGAAACAGACGAAAAAGTATAAAACTAAACACTCTGGAATATTAACATGCGACAGTTAAACACTGAGGTAGAGTAGTTCAAAATTGAAGACATTTCAATATATATGGATTTATTACAAAGAGTTCCGTCCTCGTAATCATGGCTGTGTTCAAGTGGCAATTAGGAATCCTAGATTTAATGACTGGTGCAGTCAGCATACACAGTGTTGAAATCAATCTCAATAGAAAATGACTAGGGATCAGTGATTTAATAAGTTAGCGAAACGAATAGTGAAATTTAAAAAGTAGCGGACTTACCTTTCTGAGGTTTAGCACATCGTTTCCCACCCTTCTTCTTAGCTATAATAATAAGATAGACAGAGAGAAATATACGGCCGATGAAAATATTTTCGAGTGCTACGACAAAACACAGATACTATTCACTGTGTTCCTTTAAATTTCGAATGAAGTATAGGGCTGCATGCTTTAAGCCTTCAACTTTCAGTAGCAGAAGTTTTTTTCATTTCCTTACTCCAAACCTTCTATCTTTAATGAGCTTACTGCCGACTATGTAAGGTTAGGAGTGAGCCAGTGACCAGGAATCGAACCCCAGATAAAGTGCGTGTTTGAGAAGTATTCTACTGCTAAACCACCTGCTCACGAAACACAAGTATTTCACTGAAGAATTACCAGTATGCAGTGAATGCTATCCATGGATGTTTCCATATACAACGTCTTACTGCTAAAATGACTGCCATCTGCTTGAAGTAATCAACTCAAATGTGTAAGCAAGTTATTTTTCAGATTTGTCATTTGAATTATGCGGTCGGATTGTCTGTTAAACATCCTGTTTATGGTTTTATTTCTTCCTCTCTTTGAATACATTATACTTTGAAAACTACTTGAATAAAGTACAAGTCATTATGAAAAACCTGTAATTCTCTTTCGATTTCTTCACGAATAATTTATGATATCACAGTTCTTGTGATCTCAGACTACTTCTTATAAGTCATGGTCTTTATGTTATCAACACCTGTCTTCGCCACATACCTAAGTTAGATGGCCGGCCTGAGAGGATAAGCAACAAGGAACTATGGCGTGCAGGCAATCATAGAGCTAGCTAAAGTAGTCTTCAGAAAACAGAGTGAAATAGAGAAGTGATGGTGAAGGCCACTGATCCACTCGGAATCCAAGGGAATCAAAACAATAATCTATATCTAACCTGATCCTTTCGAATACATGGAAGGCGACAATTCCTCAAAATAATGGAGAAAACCACCTGCTCATGGTGAGTACTTTCAGTGTTATTACGCTTCATGGATGCTTAAGTCAAGAAGTCTTTATACACCTTCGCAGATCACATCTAGACGATATGTGAGAAGGAAACGAAAGCTTCAAAATTGAAAGACCCATCAGCACAAGAACTAAAAATATAATTCCCTAGAATGGTCCTACTGTTAGTTGCTCCTGTTATCTAAATTTACACCTTCTGAGAATGGCGATTTAGCTGGTGTACAGTATCTCCGTCTTATTATTCAATCAATTTAGACAAATTAGACATATTCAAAGTTGAAACACTTACCTTGTACATCGGACACGCCAAACGAATATACAGCAAGCATAACGAAAATGAGTACGCTTAACTAAAGTGAAAATGAATGAAAGAATGAAAGAAGGTTAATTAGGTACTGTTCTACAACAATGAAGCACTTACTCTCTTGTACTCCATTGTCACAGTATTTCAAAGTGAATTCCACTCGATGATTACTACCCGAAACTCTGTTGAATTTAAAGTAAAATTATGTCCAATAAGAATTAATGTAATTGATTAAAACACTCGAAAATTGGTAGTTTTAATGATTGTATCGTCAAGATATCAACTCATTATTAATTTTATTAACTAGTATAGGTAATGTAAGTCAAATATAGAAAATTTTGTCAAATTATTGGCAAATTTCACTGTAATAACGGCATATTGTTAGGCTACGGCATCAATGTAATCGACAGCTATCTTTTTTCCCAGCCCATACTACTTAGATACTCAAACACTCACGATAACACTGTGTTCCAAACATTTTATAGTGTAACGAATTTATCTCATCCACAAATGTCTTACAAAGTGCACGTAGAATAAATGAAATTATTTAATCGGCTGCAGGAAACGAATAGCTATTTATTTACTGATGTGTTAGTTGTACAGCTGAATACCCATTGGTCGAAAACGAAACCTGATCCGGTCGCTTGCCAATCGCATTAGGCGCATATGTAATCCTGATCCTTTGGAGGAAGAGTTATTCCTGAAGAGAACATTCCCTGCTGCATCTTCGAGAATAGCCTGTACCAGTCGACCATTACTATTCAATAACCTGAAGGACAAGATCCCGCAGTTGACCAACTGCTTGTGCGTTTATCAATTGAACTGCTCTTGTGGAGCTATGTATATCGGTTTTTCGACTGGAGTTTTGCCCAACAGGATGCAAGATCACTATCCTGCATGGTTAACAAGATGTGAAAGTGGAGCAATAAGAAGTACTATCATTGAACATCTGGTCGATAATGATCACCCTGTCTCTACAACTTCCGCCTTTATAGTCATCTACAAGGCCACAAACAATTTGCGCAAATCACTACGTATCCGGCTCATCTATAATGATGAAGCTTTGACTGTCGCAACAGAAAAGCCAGATCTTTGTATAAAGTAAGAGTTCGTTCAACTCATCCAACTCTCATGGTCTTAATCCGTCTATGCTGAAGTATGGTGATCACTAAACATATTGGGCTCTACCAATTTTCCTCTTTGTCTATTCGATTTTTATACTCATCCTTTATTACGTCAATTGTCACTTTGAACTGTCTCCGGTATTAATAGGCTTGCTACACTTGTCATTCTAAATCAATTCTGTTTTACAACGTCAAGTTTTATGCTATCACATTTCACACTGTATTACGTAACGTTTTTATTCTTATTCTATTTGCCTACTAATCATATAATTGTACACCTCAACCAAGTTCTATTCATCCTATGAATTATTCTATATATGACATGGACTGTTTTGCTATTTGACATTTCTGGTTTACGCACAAAATGCATGCTACGTAACATTTAGCAAAGTGATTGTATTTAGCAGTACTAGCATATAGTTTAATTTGCTTACTCTCATTTATTCTGAGAATATATATGGAAACGTTGTATTTAAAGATGATGCTTGCAATGGAATATATGGTGAATGCGGTTAACTGCTTGCTTGAAGTCAAATAATTGTGAAAATGTCATCCATATAATGTCTCCAAATCTTTTGGATTTGGACTATGTGTAGGTATATATAATTATATTCGCCGAGCGACCCATGAAGATATCTTCTACGACTGAGGATATTCGTGTTCTGATTGCTTTGCCTTCTGTTTTTAAATTTATTTTGAGCTGAAATGTAAAGATGTAGTCAGTGTAGCTCAATATAGAATGATTGACCTTGAGAGGATGACTTATTTGCAAATCGAAACACGGTAGTTTCAGTGTGCATATTAACACACAACCACACAATAGGGTGGAACGCAGCTATTATTATTAAAATGTAGTATATCTTGATGAAGAGATAGGCTGATTATTGAATCTTTGTTCATCGAATATGCATTTAACACATGTGATAGGAATAGTTCTGATATGCGGTCAGATGAAAACAACCAGATGACACATGTTTATGGTAGGATGGTGTTCAAGATCAGTCTAGATATTTTCGCTCACGCCTACATCCTTGACCAGATATGTATGTGCATATATTGTTTTCTTTGGTAAACTGACTTATATACTCATAAGGATACTGTTAAACATACCTGCCATGTCATGTCGTTGTGTTTACTTGATTAAGGACACAGTTAAACCTTAAGCAGCAGTGTGTACCAATGAAGTGCAACGGCACCAATGACCTCGAAACACTCAGTGACCTACTGGGAAATTGTGAACAATATCGTAATCGTGAATAAAATATGCCAAATGACGTGTTATATTGTGGTGAGAGCTTTTCTGTGACCTGAAAATATAGACAAAAATTTACATCAATTTCCATGTCCGGAATCAGAGTCATGAGAAAAAGCAGTAGCAAGGCTTAACCTTGAGGAACTCACCAAACAATCACATCACACTTAGCGTGTGCAAAAGCGATTAGCAGATATACGGCTTAACTTTTTAAGAAGTGGTCACAAGCAGTAGAGAATAACCTTCAGCAAGAAAACAACCAGACACGAAACGTTGCTTCGCCGCTGACAATAACGTTAATAATAGTATACATAAAAATCTATAAATATCTGTTGATTTTCCCAGTAAGCAATCTGTTGCCTGACCCTTGTCTTCTATCGTTACCATATTATTAGATGGGATGGCTGGGAAGTAAGGTTTGGGATAGATGCAGTTAGGCTTGAGTCTAGGGACAGGTTAACGCTAGGTTAACCTGATGACAGCGACTTTAGTGTTGGTTCAAGTTAGATTAGGGTTGGTGGAAAGAAGACAGTCCAGCGAATAGTCTACGTGTTTCGTCTCTATTAATGGGTGGATGGGGATTATTCACGAATTAAAAGATTAGGGTTAGTTTGGAGATATTTTCACGTTATGGTTAGGTTAAGTTAATATAAGGGTTATTGTTAGGATTAGAAGACATGCACAGAATATGGTTAACTTACTCTGATGATATTTCAGTGCAAAACTGAGAGGTTGCTTATGCCATACGTCAGGAAAGGTTCCATGCTTTTCGATTCGTTGTTCTCATGAATACACGTATTTTATTCTCAAAAATCGTCTTTATCAATTGGTTAATGCATTCTAAATCGTTTATCTGCTGGTGCATACTGGTGCTTAAAGTTTAGCTTTGTCCGATTAAGTTGAATGGCCTTGAGGAAATCAGGGAACTGACGTATCGGGTGACTGTAAACTATCACAAAGCGTATCGAAACTACCTGATGAAGGCGCTGACAAATCGCTTCCGACCAATCAGATACGCACAGAGTAAATCTGAGTAATTTGAAGAAAGCCTTAATATATAAGTAAACCAATGTCAAAAGTGATTACGTGGAGAAACTTTCTGTTATGTGTTCCAATAATACCTCTCAATTTCTCACAGTAGTACCCACAGCTGTGTTCAACCAATTTGTTTACATAAATTAATCAAGATAACTAGAAATCATTGTGTTTCTTGACATATTCACTGCTCTCATCCTCTATTTTAGGTGACTGCAGCAACTTTCAATGGAATTTTGGTGAGTCCCATTGAAAGGACCAAAGAAATCGTCCGTATGATTGACCACATTGTGAATGTCCCCACAGAAAACAGTTGGCTATATGTTATGAATTTATTGAGAAAGAAATTCGG